TCGGATTTCAGAATCTGAAAGCATACTTCTAAGTCTGATTTCCTTACTGTTCCAGTCCAGTGGTATTCCTTCCTGACTGGGGAGATACATAGTCTTCTATCAAGCAGAAAGTGTGAGCAGAGTACGTGGTTTGTAAATACCTCCCGATTACTGTGGTGTTTTAATTTTTTTATATGGCTGTATGCATTTGAGTGTCCAAGTTGACCTGTCAGGTGGGTGAACAGTTTACAGGTTGGGTCGTGCAGTCAGAAGTGCTGCCAAGGCTTGGCTTTATCTGAGTTCTGTCCTGCCCACTATGTGCTTGATTTTAGGTTGTGAGACAGTCTGACAGCCTCTAGTGACACTTTTTAAGGCATATGAATGGATTTTCTCTTTTTCTTTATGCAAATATTTTAATTCCTTAAAGGTAGTAATAATGTTGGCAAATAGATGTATTATTAAATTATTTAAATTATCTAACAAACTTCTAAGCCTATATAAATGGAAACTGGCATGCAGTGGAGTTGCATAAGTTATTCAAGACATTTTTTCTTTACATATACATACAGATGTACAGTTGGTTAATAGAAAGAGGATAGTGTTGGTTACTTAGCAGAAAGTCTGACAGTCTGTTTTTAGACAGAAGTCCGGAGCTTAAACAGACGTGAGCATATAAGGTAGGGGGATTGCTGTTCCCTGCAGTCCGTGAAAGCCTGCTGTGGGTCACTGCTCCGGGGTGCCTGTGTTCAGGCAGTCACCCTGGTGTGGCAGCGTACGGAGCTGGTGAATGGAGAGCTGGTGTTGAAAATGGAGAGGATGACAATTCTGCTCCCCGCGAACCGCTTCTGGGTGGGGTTGGTCTGTAACGGGGAGTGCCACCGGCGCTGTGTTCTCCGCACTGAAGGTGAGGCTCCGGGTTGGATTTTGTTATTCTGAGTCGGGTTTCTGTGGATCTGAACTTGGATTTCTTGGGCTGAACCACCCTGCTTTTGGCTACGTTTTATTTTTAGGTACTGTGAGGAATAGTCTGAGGATGTCTATTCAGGTCCATTTTAGTATGAGACCTGATGAGTTGTTTTTCTTTTTCTTTTGGAATGTGCTGGAGCTTCCAGGGTGTGTTGCACTCTGGCCTTTAAAGTGGAGGCTGTTTCAGATAGGTATTGGAGCATCTGGAGAAGGTAAACATTTTCATTGTGGGATGTGAGGGGCGAGGAAGCCAACGGCAAAGCTGTGCATAATATCTGTTAATTGCCCCTTCTTATGCTCTTTTTCTGATACAAGCTGTGTGTCAGGTGCAGTTGCTGCATTTTTGTCAACCCTCTGAAGCACCTGTGCCATGAAAATAATATATTAAATATAACTGTCTAGCTGTTCACTTTTTCCCTTTGAATTTTGCAGATAAATCCTTAGGAGGCCTCAGGTTGTCAATGTTTAAATTGTAAGCAATAGAAAATAAATTTTATTTTCAGAATTTTTGGCTTATGTGACAATTACAAAATTTCTGAAACCTCCCAGGCCAAGCCCATGTAACTTAAACTGTCTTTAGCAGAATCACAGTATTGATAAATAGTAGCAGGTCAGCTTTATCTCTAAAACTACAAAACACCTCTCCAATGAATCAATTACTTTCTCTCAGTGTGAAATAAAGGCCTTTGTTCCTTCTTAATTGCACAGGTAAATAGATGGACTCTGTATTTTTACTTGAAGACAGAATTAATTTGGACCTTGAATCTTAGATTCATCAATTCTGGAAGATCGATATCTGCTGTGTTTGGCAGGGATGTGAAAGCTGTGACTGGACACCGCGACAGCCGGGGAGGGCATCTCATCATGTATCTGTTTGGAAAGCCTCTCAAATTCCACTTGCAAGTGCGAAGATTAGCTTGTAGATGTCCTAGAGTGCTGCTGTGTTGCTTTCTGAATCTTATAGTTTTTCAAGCAGACTTTGCTGATGTAGGGCGTATTGGTTTATCCATTTGTATTGGTTTGTCTTCATGATACTCTGTATGCTTCTTGTCATAATTTAGTCTAATGCTTCTGACACACCACTGGGTAATTCTTGTATCCAGTAAGACCTCTGTTGAATTGTAGGTGATCCTAGTTTTTAGTGTTCTCTATTCTCTGATAGCACAAGGCTGAATCAGATTCTTTAATAAACACAGATTTCAGGGGCTTAATCTAGTCAGATGATTAGTTTTTCCAGGTTTTCAGTGTCTTGTTTTTCTCCTGAAACTGTTTTGTTTTGGTTTTTTTCTGTCATGTTTGAGTAGTACTAGTGGCGGTTAAGACTTCGCTTCTTGTCGTTGGTGCTTTCTAGTTCTGTATATTCAGGTATGGACTAGCTTAAGTTCTTTGTCCACTTGTTTTGCACCGTTATTCCAAAGTTCTTGAGAACTGTATTTTAATTTGTAGTAATGTTTTGGTGGAAACAAAAGTAAGGTCTTGCTGTTTGTCTAATTTACCAAAAGCTGTAGATTGCTTTAAGTGAGATACTTTTTTTTTTGCTGGATAGTGTGTTTTTTTTCCTCAGTCTTTAAATTGATGAAATTATTATTTTTCTTTCAAATTACTTGGTTTGAGAATCAATCCAGGTGTGAACTGGAAGAGATTTTTGTTTGGGGATGACTATTAATTATAAGTTGTTTAAGAATTTAACTGGTTTTACTTAAAATGTGTCCTGTATTAATTTTCCTCAACAGTATTCTGTATTTCAGACATGATATAATGCCAAGTCAAATGTTTTATGGATGTCCATCTGCATTATTTAATTTACTAGACCTGTAATACAGTTTACCATCAAAAATGTTCATGAGAGGGTGGTGCCAGTTTTCTAGCATATACAGTCTCATCAGCATAGTTTGTAATCACAACAAATGTACCAGTTGAAGTGTAGAGCTCACGGTGCTTTGTGTAAATAATACTTTCTGGTAGCAAGGTCTGCTTCCAAAAAATTTGGCCTTATAGGTGAGTGGATGCAAGAGCTTTTGTGATCGTGTCTGCCGTATTGCTGAGTGCAGCTCGAGATTCAGGGATACAGGCAGCACTGAGGCTGTTCTCAGACGAGCGATGGGTCAGGAGCCTCTTGACGCTGACTGACAGAAATTAGACTTTGCTGGTACAATTTCAGTGGTACAAAGATACTCTCAGTCATCTTCAGCGTTCAGTATCATGTCAGTTAGGACAGGAGTAAAAGATACGGAAGCTTCGGAGGCCCAGTCTGTGCAAGTGTTTTTTGCTGCTGTTAGTGTTGGTAGAACTGTGTTGAACACAAGCGGTTTTGCAGACTTTGCCACAGGGAAAAAGGTGGTGGAGACGCAGCTGCGGTGGTTGTACTCGCTTTAGAGCAGTGTGGTGTGTTTGGTGCAACTGGAGCTCAGATGTATTAAGAGTTGCAGTGGTAGTGCTGTTGTCAAAATCCTGACCTGCAAAAAGCTTTCCAAAAGGTGTAGGTCCTTTCACATAGCTGGGAGCTTGACCTGCAACTGCTTTTTCATACAAGGGGCAGTGAGGAAAGTATAAAAGGAAAAATTTCGTGATACTGCATGGGCTTTTTGCACTGGTTTAAATTTTCTTCTCTTAAAGTTTATTTCTACTTTTGCAGGCAGGAGGGGAAAGGAACAATATAAGGACTGACTTCACATGGCATGTAAATAAAACGAAGCCTGTTTCTAATGATTTAGTGAAAATGAGTTAAGATTTTGATATGTCTGTTGATCTGTAATTCCACTTACCTTCAGCAGATTTGTTATTTTCTTCCTTAATTAGGTTTTCAAACTCACAGTATGTTGCACTAAGAAGGAAACAATTTCTGTGGTAGTATATTAGAAACACCGCCCTTCAGAGCTTGGGGAAGTTGGTAGTGTTAACAGACTTGTTTTTAAAAGCAGAGATAGAATAGTTAGATCAGCCATTACTGGTGTGGTCCACAGTGATCCATGACATGCAATAGGGAGATCTGTTGTCACTGTGTGAGGGTCTGTGCTTTCGCTGGCTTGCCAGCTGAGAAATTTTGGTGATTATTGGAAGGAGAGCGTGTTCAAGCTTCTGAGGAGTTTAGAAGGCTTTTAAGTTCTTGAGTAATTGACTTTGTATCTCCCTAAAAAGTCTGAATCTAGCAAAAGCAGAATCTTAAATCTATTTTTTGCAAAAGAGTGGCTGTATGAGGTTAGACCGGATGAGTCAACCTGTATTCTGTCTCTGGCATACATGAAGACATAAGTAGAAATATGTATAGTTTCTGCAGACATGTTTTTTTGGAATCTTTCAAAATAAAACTAGGAAGGTAAATAACACAGGACACAAAATACTAAACAAGAATATGTGGAGAGTGGAGAGACAAGTGTAGGAGTGACCTTTTCTGTGAATGTTCAGGTGCAGCATACTTAGGTGCATTGTTCCATCATTCTTCAGGTAACTGATACTTTCAGTCTATTGCATCTTGCTCTGCCCTTCTTGTTCTTAATCTTGACTTACCTTGGAGAAAGTCAAGGGACTAATTGACATTATACCTTGCCTGGAGGTAACTAACCTTCTCATCCTACAAAGTCATTTACTCCTCTCTTTTCTTCCCTTAAGACTTCTCTGTGCTTGATATTCATTGTGACTTCGTTTCAGGTACTGTGCAGGGAAATATACTACATCCAGCACCTTTCCCCCTCCTCTCTGTCAGTGTCCTCTGCTGCTTTTGTGGTGGGTTTTTCCTTTTGTTTGTTTTTTCAAGGTGATCTTGCTAGATGCAGAATCTAATCAGATCCCCACAATGCTGCTGCTTTGTTTACCTGTAAACCCTCAGTTGCTCTAGAATAGCCTGACTGCAGCCAGTTCATCATTTAGATCCTAATATTTACTCTGTGTGCGTGTGGATTTTATTTACTATATTTCAATTAATGGGATGTTTCTTATATTGGCATCACTTCACTTGTTGTTGAGCAGTTGTGCTTGCGTCAGCCTTGGTGCGCTCTTGATAGGAAAGAGTAGAATCTGTTTGCAGTGCCAGCTGCTGTTCGAGCAGCTGTCGGAAGAGAAGGGGATTCAGCTGGGCTGTGAGGATGTTGAGGACAGTAACGATTCTGGGGAAGGTGCAGCTAGAATATCTGCATAGAAGGCATAAAAGGACCTGTAACCTACAGCACAGACTCTTTAATGTGTACGTGCTATTTTCATGATAATCGCATCAATATATTATCTTCAAAGGGGAGAACGCTGCGTAACCGATTCTGAGTAGAGGCATAGGCTCCTCTCTGGGAGAGGCAGCGCGCTTTTTGGAAAGCAAAACTCTCCCATCGGTCTCCAAGTCTCACCCAACCCAACCTCACCCCTTTTTTGTCCTCACAAAAGCTGTACAAAATATAGCAGATAGCTGTCAGCAGAGGCAGATTCCCTCTCACTCTCTGCTGCGTCACAAGGCTCAGACCAAGGTCTAACAGAATAAGCTGTTACCTGTTCCTGTCTGCTGGTTCTTGGAAAGAGCCCGAAGGAGCAATAGAGATCCTGGAGCAAGGAGGCTGCACTCAGATTGGAAAGGGGAATCTTCCCTTATGCTTCTTGGAAGATATTGTTTAGAACAATAATTCTACTCAATCGTAATTAATTTTCAGTCTTGCAGGAGTTGATATTTATGTATCGACTATGGAGAATTTTAGCTGTACTCTTTTTGACCTTACTCCCTTTGTCTTAATTTAGAAAGTATGTCTCTGTGTGCTTAGAAGTATGTTTGTGTCTCATTGTTCTGTAATGCCCCTAAATACGTAAGTAAAGTGTGTTTCTGAGTTGTATCTTATTTTTGAAAGAAGTTTAGCAGTAAATAAGGGCTGCTTTTCCCTACTGCATAGAGGACAGACAAGTAATTGCTTGTAAGTAAGCCCATATAGATGGTTGAATGCAAGACCAGTTCCCTTCTAAAATGGTCTCTGGTAGAAATGCAGAAAATTGTTCTGAATAAAACTGAAATTCATTAGATAAAAAATTATTTTTGTCAGAAGTAATGTTTATTTGAATATCAACATGAGGTATGTTACAGACTATGTCAGGGGTGTATAATACACCTGTTTTGAGGTTAGGAGATTTTCAGAGTGATGGTTTCATTCTACTGGAGATATGTTAGAATACTGAAATTAAAAAATAATTTTCAGACATGGTATTTTCTTAAGTATTCCCCCTGTTTGCATGCAATTTCATTTTTTATTATCAGAAGTAGTTCAGCAGACCTCTCCTGTTGTCTGTGTTTTCTGGCTGGTTGCGAGTAAAACATTTGAAGCAGGCACCTGACAGACTAACGGAAGTATGTTACCAGCAGGGAGGGAAAGCAGCTCGACAAGTTTCTGGAGTCTTGGGGAAAAAATGATGAAAGGGTACCAAATGATGATTTGCTTTGTGTATTACAAGAATCAGTATTCAGAGTGTATCTTCTTGTACTCGCTGTTTTCTGGGCTGCGTTGGGTTCCTTGTTTTGAAATTGGGATGTCTTTATGTGACCATGTGTACAATTTAAATAGTGTAATCTCCTTTGTTTTAAAAGGTCATGGACCAGAGCATTCTTCAAAAAAAGTATTAGATATTGCTGATTATTAAACCCTCCAGCTGATCTGCCTTTTGTATGTTCTCTTTTCTTCCTGTCCTTCCCCGACATGTATTAAATAATATTGGAGAAAGTGAGATTAAAAGTAAAAATGTGGGAAAGTGTCCTTTGTCTCCATTAAAGTTTTCATGCTTTACTTGTTCATTTACAGTTCATTGTAACTTGTATCTCTGTTACTCATGAATACAGATGTTCATTGCATAACTACATCATTCTTTTGGTTTCAGGAAAACTGCTACTTGTTAAAATTGGATGGATGTCTGTTTCTAGGCACAAAATAAACTCTAAAAGTCAGGTTATTTGTGGGAGAATATACCATGAAATTCTATACCTTTGTGTTAGGCAACATTTTTTTGAGTTTGAAAAAAGAATTCTTGAAGTAGAGCATTCAGACTTTTGACTTATGGCTGTACTTATGTGCACAGCATGACCTAAACAGAGTTGTTTAACAAATTAAGAGCTGCCGTTTTCAAAATAAGTACTAATATTCCCTCCTAAAGACATTTCAATTATAACCTTTTCAAATAGGACTTTATATGACGCTCGCATAGAAATAAAGTGCAGATGTGTGTGGTAATGGTCTGAAGGTATGGGAATAACAGTTTCACATCTCTTTTCAGTATGATGCTGTTCCAATCCAGTCTAGCGTGGTGTTATGCTCCTGTTCTTCCCCATCGATGGTGAGGAACCAAGCGGATTCCAGCACTCCATCTGTCATTTCCACCTGTGGCAGCAGACAGGGATCTAACATGGAGGGCACTGCCGCTGAATCAAGATCCAGTTCCAACTCCATGCAGCAGCATACAGGACAGCAGCCTCCACAGCCTCGAAAGAAACGACCTGATGACTTCAAATTTGGGAAAATTCTGGGTGAAGGATCATTTTCAACAGTAAGTTTACTTTTTATAAGATGTGCCAAATATCTTAGATAAACTTCGAAATTTGTTGTGCAAGTAATATTGCTGAGATTTAAATCTGCAGAGAGCAGCTTGAAGAGTAAATGAGTGAGACATAGTAGTTAAGTATTAAATTAAGTGTTGCACTAGGTATGGGTGCTGATGTTTTGAGTACCTTTTGAACTCCTCAGAAGTTCCATTGTATCCTGGTGAATTGATGCTTGGATTTTTAGGAGACGTTGCTTTCCAATGTAAGTTTGATAGCGTAATGAGTTATGTTAAAATTTTATGATATGAGAGATTGTAACTGGGCTGGGAGTTTGTCGTAGTAAGAACTTCTATGCAATGTCCTGTCTATGGCAGGAACTACTGCCACATGCTTAGGGCAGAAAGTAAGAGCAGTGATACTTCTCCTATATTCTTTTTAAGCCTCTAAGGTCAGGGCCCTCAAGGACTGAATGAGCCACAGTGAGTATCTTTATATTCAGTAGCTGTAAATGGATTGTTTCTAACTTCTCACATCCATGGCATCGTGCAAGAATGAGTTACTTGTTATTGTAAAGAACCTCTGAAGCAATTAATACTTTCATTTGAGGCTTTTGTAGTTGCTCCATTGTAAGACAATAAGTGATATTTCTCTATTTTTTTCACGTCCTTTGTTGTGTGTATTTTTTGGTTGTTGATCTATCAATGTGAGGTTTTTCTGGTTCTTCCTGTGCAGTCTACTGTGCTGTTTAGGAAGCAGGCCTCTAGTAGTTATCGGTAGTTATATGTTATGTGATGTACTTCTGAAAAAAAGAAATGTAAATCAGTGATTACCCTGTCAGGTGTGCAAGTTTTTTAGCAAAACAAGCATTGTTATGCTGAACTGAATTTCAGCAGAGGTCTTGCTGAAGCCAATAAAATCTGAGCACGTGCTGAAGCATTTTTCTGATTGCCGTTGTGACAGCTTATTTTGGACAATCAGTATTCTAAATACCTACTGGTAGATCAAATCAGTGTTAGTGTATGTCTTTAATGAATGGTTACAGTTTATTTTCTCTCCTCTGACAACAGGTGGTCTTGGCTCGAGAATTGGCAAGTTCTAGAGAATATGCCAGTAAGTATTGATTCCTTCAATATGAACTCTTTAAAAACACAATACCAATGTAGTCCTGTTGCAAAATATCAGTTAAAAAGACAGAATTAGAGGTTTTATGATAATTTTATCAAATAAAAAACCCCCCAAACAAATTGTTTAATGAACTTGATTTGTTTGTATCTCCTGCATTTTTGTTCTTTTTTTCATTAAGTTAAAATTCTAGAAAAGCGTCATATCATAAAAGAAAACAAGGTGCCATATGTGACACGAGAGAGAGATGTAATGTCCCGCCTGGATCACCCTTTTTTTGTGAAACTCTACTTCACCTTTCAAGATGATGAAAAGCTGTGTATCCTTTGCATTTTAAAACTTCTGTAACATTTTCTTAAAAGTAACAAAACCCAGTTTTGGTTCCTTTGAAAAATTGTCTAACAGGAATGATGAAAATAACTTGTATTTAAAATATCTTAATGTTTGTGATGCAATTTTTGCAGTCACTCTTTTAATGGAAATTAAGTAAGTAGAATGAGTGTGATCCCTCGTAGAGAAGAGTGGGTGACATGTGGGACAGGGGAGATGAATAAAACAGTTTGTATTTTTCACATGGTAAGTGCTGGAGGGTGACATGCAACAATCTTAAGTTTAAAATAATTTTTAAAAAAATTGAGAGTGTATGAGAAATGTTTTAGAAATGCTTTATTTCTGGTATATATAGTAAACCACCACAATTCCTGTATTTAAAATAGGGGTAGCCAGCCGTATTTAACTGCTATTTCTTATTTGAACAATTAGATCTATTAGAATTTTTCATATGTAAAAGTGCTTACAGAATAATCTGAATGATAGAAAGCTGAAGTTCTTCTGTTTGAGATGCTGTTTCCCAAGTGTTTTCTCTATCAGTAATTGCGAAGGGCAGCTTCACGTTGAAGGCTCAATGGTTTGCAGTTGTTTTTTTTTTTTTTTCTTACGGAGAAAATGTTAATCATGTGAATTTCCTTCTAAACTTCCTTCTTCGAATTGGCCGTGCCAAGGGTAAAAGGATGGATCAGTCTGTTTCTGGGGTCAGTGTTTTTCCCAGCAGCTGCCAGCAGTGCTGGCAGTCCCTGTATCGCGTGTCTAGCACTGCACACGCGCTGACACCCTGCGGGGGCTCAGACATCTGCTCGCTGGACACTGGGATGACTGTGGAACTTCCCAGATGATGGGGCGATTTCAAACTTTGGTTGAATGTGCATTATGACTGTAAATAGTTCTCTTTGAGGGCAATTCCGTGTAGAGTTTAAATGAATTACCCAGGTGACTGTCTGGAAAAACTACAAATTTAACCATTTATGTAGTCCTTCCTGTGCTGGAGAAATTGGGACCTGTGTGCTAGGTTGTTAAAAATATTTAAGGAATTGTTTTGGGTTGCTACTGTGTAGAGTTTCAAATTAACCAACTTCACTTCTTCCATGTTGTTCATGTATTTTTGGTATTATTCTTGTCTTTGGAATGAGATGTGTGGATTTTCACTTTAGGATGGTTTAGTGGTGGACCTTAACTGTACTTACATACAGATTTTGGGCTGAGCTATGCCAAAAATGGAGAGCTGCTAAAGTATATACGCAAAATCGGCTCATTTGATGAGACCTGTACCAGGTTTTATACTGCTGAAATTGTATCAGCCCTGGAGTATTTGCATGGGAAAGGGATAATTCACAGGTAATAAGAAGCTGAGACCAACATACATTTGATTATGCACAAGGTGTTTTTTCTAGAAGTGTTCTTTGAAGTCTAAAGCAAACACTGTATTTTGTGGAAAGCTGAAGAGAGCGTAATAGCATTTCACTAGCGTTAGTACTTTTGTTAACATAGGGAGCTAAAAAAAATGAAACTTTCGGAGGAGAGCCAGTCTCTGTTATTAGACCGGCTGTTCTAATGGGAAAAAATAAGACAACTTTTTGGCCTAGAACAAACGTTACCAAAAACTTGCCTTTTCCAAGCTTGATCAGTTGGTCCAAAACCAGAAGCTGGCTTTTTGTTTAACTACATTTTTTTTTCCTGTGGTGTTATGTACCAAAAGTAACTAGAATTCTGCTGGTGTGTGAACTAGTGTGCAGCATGTCATCCAGAAAAGTAAAATTAATGTATGTCAGTGTTTACTGAGTGAACAATTTCCACCAAGCTGAACAATAACAAAGTAAATGGTGAAATTTAACCAAGTTTTTAATAGGACCTTCCTAGTTGTTCTTGATACTTGTTCTTGATTATATTGTCTGGGTAAGCATGTTTTGTCATTAGTGTTTATTAAACAAAGCTGTAAGTGTGAGAAATCTGAGTCAGGGAATTTCTTTTCGGGTAAGAAATCTACTGTGTCTGTCAGTTCCCAAGCAGTTGTTCACGGAACGGTAGGTGCTAGTTGGCGAAAGCCTGTCTGATCATAATTCTATAGCATTATTACTACTTTCAGTTATATTTAAAAGGACAAAGTATTTTTCAAATACTTTTCTGTGAAATAATTGGGAATAGAATCTAAGGGGGCTGGATGTGGAGATTACATAAAATTTTCTACAGGAGTGAAAGAAGTTCAAGAACACCCAGTTTCACTTTGATTATGTCGTCCATGTGTTAGGTTGGGAGAATGCTTGTAGAATGAATATAGCATGATTGTCAGTGTTACTAAGCCTATGTTGGAAATCTTGTATTACAAAAGAGCTGCTTTGTATTTGTCTTCATGTGCAGGCCACTGTGAGAAGCTCAAAAGAAAACAGTGAAATTGTGCAATTAGAGAATTTAGTATAAAGTTTAATTAAAAGTCCATAACACTAACAGTGCCTGAAAGCTCTTGCTTCCTAAAGAAATATGACATGAGGTAGAACCACTTTAACATGCCAGGCTGCTCTGGAAAAGTTACTACAGTTATATTTCTTTGTGTATCTAGATATATTATGGATCTAGGAGATAGCTATATAATATTAATACATAGGTGTATGCTACATTAGATGAACTGTATGTTTATGTGTGTATAGAGTACAATATATATATGTACATATGTATATGTGAAAAAACTCAGCACAGAACTGTTAAAAAGCTCTCTTCTGTTCATGTACTTTCTGCTTCTCTCTGAGAATAGTTACGGCTTGTGTCATGGTTACTTAATTCCAATTGCTCTCTGCCAGCCTGCAGACTTTACACTGTAAAACTGCACAGCCCATGCTCGTCAATAATAGGGGGCTGTAATCGAAAGAAAACTGCTGCACAGCGGTTGATGGAAACAGGTTTGCATTTGCACTGATTTTTCTTACCAGTCAGCCAAAACAATGGCCGTGCTGTTAGGTTTCTTTACGAGCATCCAAAGATGATACTTAGGAGGGAAGTATGTCGTCTTTTCTTTTCAACTGAGGAAAGTCAGTGCAAGGTAAATCATAACAGCGTAACCCAGTGCTTTTTATGTTGTTGCTAAGTGGACCCCTTGACATCTAACTCGTATTGTGTGCATGACACTGACATAGTTTTATTCAGAATCGGAGGCAGTGTCCACACAAATGGTACGCATACATTTGACAGACAGATTATACGTGGATTGGTATGTGACAGATACACACATGCCATTCTTAAAGGTGTGGAGGTGGTGTACAGTTTTATCTGTTCTGGACATGTAGCTGGGGGTTGCCACGTTTGACTAACTGGAGTTTTGCTCTGAGTGAACCAGCCTCGAAGATCTTACTGCCACGTCAATCTGTAAGATGTTATTCAAAATTAAGGCTTGCGAGTGAAGGGGGTTTTTTTTGTTCTGTTTTTGTTGAACAAGTGAGATGCACAATAACTTAGTTTTGAGATTGTTCTTTACTTCAGGTCTTTTTAGAAAAAATGTTAATGTGCTTTTCAAAAATCCGTTAGCGGTCTGTGTGTTGACAGCTCCAAGTTAGAGGAAAGTTGACACTGTTTATAGAATGTCCGCATCATTTATGATAGTGTTATGTGCATAAATCACTAGGAAGTTTTGCAGCTTTAGTTTGTGTGCTGTTTAAATATAAAAATTTGCCTTCTCCAGGGATCTTAAGCCAGAGAACATCTTGCTAAATGAAGATATGCACATTCAAATAACAGACTTTGGAACAGCAAAAGTATTATCTGCAGATAGCAGACAAGGTACGTCATTATTTAATTCATCGTGTAACACAGGTAGCTATAGCAAGTGGTCTTTTGAAAATGTATGTATGTTGTATTTGCCGAATTGTAACCTTCAAATATCGTTACCTCTTATCTAACAAAATCACTGAGAGATCTTGAAGCAGGTTTGATTGTCACTGCTTGGATTATGTCAGAAGAGGTAATATTTGGTGTAGTGGTATAGCTAGATAGATCACCAGATACAGTGGGAAGTTAAAGTACTTCAAATTACTTTTCGTTTGCAAGACAAGAATGCAAACAAATAGTTAACTGTGGCTCAGCTAAAACAGTAAGTTTTTAGTCTGCTTATGTATTTAACCCCCGTGACTATCAGAGTTGCTCAAATGTGAAGGTTATAGAATGCTTGTGTCACTAGTTGGCTTAATACTAACCTGGGAATGAGTGATGCTGCAAACAACGCCTGAAAAAAGCACTAGGCTAAACTGAATTTGATAAATTTAGAATGTAGTAATCTTGTGTTGGTAGATTTTGTACCTGGGGAAGTGCCTACATGCCTAGCTTCTTGAACCAAGTAGATATCACTGAGATCAATTGATTTGTCTCTTCCAAGCAGGTTTTGTGAATGGGTAGAGAAATAAAATTCCTGTGGGTTCTGTGTAGCATTACATAACTTGCAATAGATCGCCTTTAGATTTTTTAATGGGGTGACGGGAGCAGGGGAAGGGGGAGGTTGGCTTCTCCATAAGTATGTATTTGCTTATTTCTTTTTTCTTGCCAGCACGGGCAAACTCATTTGTAGGGACAGCACAGTATGTTTCTCCAGAACTGCTGACAGAGAAATCTGCCTGCAAAAGGTGAGGCCTCTATTGTATTTCAGAGCTTTACTGACTTTGTCAGGATACTGTCAAAGGGTGGGGAGGGGATAGATAAAACAAGCAAGCTTAGTATTTCGAAGAAACAAGGTGATTGAGTATAAAGGTTTTTTTAAGAGAGTTTGAATTTTTTTTTTTTTCTCAACAAGTATTGCTTCATGTCTGGGTGCTAGTTTCCTCAGTTCATCTACCTTCTGCACCTCTACAGAGAGGTGAAGGTGTTGTCAGGAGGAGGAGATGTGCAATGTGAAGTTGGATTTCTGACACAGAAATCAAAAGCCTTTTATTATTATCCAAATATTATAATTATTTTAATTATTTTTTAAATAAGCTTGCTCTAATATGGTAATTCTAGCTGCAGAAGCAACAGAATGTCACATTCTGTCAGTTAGGGGAAAGGCTACAGCTTTGACTTGTATTTAGATCAACTCGCAGTAATCTTTGCTAAGCTCTGCTTGGGGTTTGCAGTGGTTTAAAGCTCATATTTTTTTTTTTTTCCCCATGGCTTGAGTGATACCCTTAAATTTATCTCATTTAAATTGGTTCTTGATGGTAACATACAGACTGTTGTACATCTGTTTTATTACCATGAATATGTGTTTGTTTGTGCTAGCGTCTCTTGAAATGATAGAAATACCATTAGACTTTCCACTTTTGCTTCTATTAAAGAGGTTTTTGACTGGTTTGGCTAACAGAAAGACTTCATCAGGCTATCATCTCCTTTTAGAAGTTACGTAATGCTTCATAGAATCGTAGAATCAGAGAATGGTTTGGATTGGAAAGAACCTAAGATCGAGTGCCACCCCCTGCCATGGACAGGGACCCCTCCCACTAGCCCAGGTTGCCCAAAGCCTCATCCAGCCTGGCCCTGAACCCCTCCAGGGATGGGGCATCCACAGCTTCTCTGGGCACCCTGGGCCACTGCCTCACCCCCCGCACAGCGAAAAATTTCTTCCCCAGATCTCATCTCAATCTCCCCTCTTTCAGCTTATACCCGTTAACCCTTGTCCTGTCACTACACCCCCTGGCAGAGTGTTTCCCCATCCCACCTGTTGAGTCTATTTTAGTCTTCCGTGAGGATTTCTATGCTTTAATCAAATCATAGTTTACCTAGAGGTAAAATAAGTTAATACTCTCTCAGGCCAACACACTAAAACTTAAGACTCACCCGTGTACCATATAGCCTGCCTTTTTGTTGTCTTAAGAAAAGCTTTAAGCGAAGAAGCATAAAGTATTTAGAGGAAAGGATTTTAATTCTGAAGGAGCATATATTGCATTAAATTGGATGCATCTTTGAATTGATGTAGTGGATTCTTTTTAGTCTCTTTACATACCCATTAATTATTTTGACTCAGCTGTCTTGCACATGTGATTGTAGTCAGTTGTTTTGGGATGGTTATGGTATACTTTTTTTTTTCTCTAAAAAGTTCTGTTGCTAGGAAGTGAAAATTGTGTGGAAATTATGCTAGGCAGGTTTTGTCTGTGTTTATGCGATGTTCTAACTAGCAAAAGCCTAAGAATTTTTTAAAGTTACAGTTTAAAGACTGCTTATAGGAAAACATGCTATGTTTTTTTTCCTCTTTCTTTTGAAGCTCTGACCTCTGGGCTCTGGGATGTATAATATATCAGCTTGTAGCTGGATTGCCTCCGTTTAGAGCTGGGTAAGAGATTTAAGCTAATTCTTTACACATGGATCATAAATACATTGACTTGGTTTTGGCTTTTACTGTACTGCCAGTTCTGCAGTACAACTTTTCATGGTGCAGTGTTGCTGTTAATGTCATGCCTGCTTTTATTTGTCCTTTGTGATGCCATGAAGGTGCTTAGATGGCTATAACTGGAGTTCCTCCAGAGAGATCCATTTATTTATCCTAGGATTTCACATGTGTTTTATACCATAAAGGTAACTATACCTACATGAAGAGGGTATGAGGCACCTCTGTATAGGGACACTTGAACTTTTCTTGTTATTGTGCAAGTACCTGGTGCTTATGGGATCGTAGATACTTGGAAGACTGACCCTAGAAGGATTTGTGGGAATGTGACTTGCAGATCGCCTGTTTAATATTTGTCCAGGTTATGCACTGTTAAGGTGAAAGAACCATGGAGAACTAATAACAAGAGTGAGTATTTTTCTCTTTTGCAGAAATGAATACCTTATATTCCAGAAGATAATAAAGTTGGAATATGACTTTCCAGAAAAATTTTTTCCCAAGGCAAAAGATCTTGTTGAAAAGCTACTGGTAAATATTTGCTGCTGTTAAATGATTTGATGACACTGGAAACACTCAGCTTATGTATTTCTTTTTTCCTAAAGTTTCTATGCACTCTTCCAAACCTTATAATAAGAATGACTGTGATAATTGTTGACTGCATAGGGTAGTGTCTTGAAAATCAACATCTATTTTTTAAACAGCACTTAGAGTATTGTTTTTTAAACCAGTACAAAACTGTTGCTGACAAGACATACTGATAAATAACTTCTTGTATTATAAGCAGTCTCCTGATACTCTAGATATGCTTAGGGCATTGAGACCAAATGGCTTTAAGTTTTCACATGCTGCTGTGCAAATGTGAATGGTGTTCACCCCTTCCTTGTCATTATTTCATGCATGTTACTTGTAATTTGCTCAGGTTCTAGATGCTACCAGCAGATTAGGTTGTGAAGAAATGGGTGGATATGGACCTCTTAAGGCTCACCCCTTCTTTGAATCCATTGTGTGGGAGAACCTACATCTTCAGACACCCCCAAAACTTACAGCGTATTTACCTGCTATGTCAGAGGATGATGAAGACTGTTATGGAAATGTATGTTTCTCTATTCCTGTGTTCAGCTCTGATGCTGCCTGAGACTTTCATTAAAGCATAATTATTGCCTATAAAATATTTTTATTGAAACTACTGATTAGTTGTATTTTAATTAAAACTCTGATTAAGAATCTAATATAAAATTGCTGGTTAAAATTTGAACTAGTCAGGATATTTCTATTTTTCTGATAAAGTGAGCGTTTGGAATAAGTACTGGTTGGCTTGCTTTGGACTAAGCATACTTTTTTGGATAAGTGCCTGTTAATCTATAGAGAGTAGGCTGTCTTTTGCCCAAAAGCATGCATAAATTAAAAGCTGCAGTTTAGTGCAAAATAAACTTTTTAATCAAAGAAATTTGTTTACTTCATTTTGTTTCCTCCTCTAGTATGACAATCTCCTGAGTCAGTTTGGTTGCATGCAAGTTTCTGGTTCTGCCTCTTCCTGTTCACTGTCCGCCCCAGAGACAAGTACACCACAGACATCAGGAGGAAATATTGAACAGTATATTCATGATCTTGACAACAATTCCTTTGAGCTGGACTTGCAGTTTTCTGAAGATGAAAAGAGGTTACTTCTGGCAAAACAAGCTGGTGGAAATCCTTGGTAAGATCTCATCTGTTACTTGAACAACAGTAAGGAACCATTCTATGATTCTATGAATCCAGAAAAATAAGTTATTTTTATTCAAATTAATATTTGTCAATCTAATTCCTTCGAGCAAACAATTAGCAACTAGATTTTTCTTTACTTCTATTTTTAAAGCAATAGCAGCTTTACTTCTGTTTTTAAAGCAATAGCAGCAAAAGCCTAGTACTATGTTTCTAAAATTTACAAGGTCTGGAAGATGATGTGGACTATGTTTGTAAGATAGGCAGAACTGATACTATACCAGTGCTGAGAAGCCTTCCCTTTACAGAGTCCTAGAACTAGAAGAGGTTCCCTCTTTCTTACAGTTGCCATAAGTTGGGGTTTTTTTGAATGATAATATTCTGTTGATATCTAACCAAAATACCTCCAGGCCATGTACTTTGTACTGCTTCTCCTCACTCAAGAGGAGTTTCTCATTTGTGATATCTTCCCCCTCTCCCATCAGATTTTAGAAAAACTTTGGACTCTTCCTCATTCTGCACCAAAACTTGTCTAGTAAAGTTGTTCAGGACTCTGGCAGAAAAGGAGAGACATGGAAGATTGCTTGATGATAATAATAATAATAAAAGCTGTTTCTGTGGAAGAATTGCTTCTGAAGTAATGGTTATTCTTTTTTTTCTTTTTTTTCTTTTTAAGGCATCAGTTTGTAGAAAATAACTTAATCCTAAAAATGGGTCCAGTGGACAAAAGAAAGGTAAGGGCTTTAACAAGATTCAGCTGTCACATTTTTGCACAGTTGCAGCATAGATAAGGAACCTATTGTAGAGCTTCCTTGTTTAACTTATTTGTGTCAAGTTGTTTTGTTTATTTTTTAAAATGTAGTGTTTTCCTGTGAATAGAAAAGTAAATGTGCTATTGTTGCTTTCATTTCGAGATGGTAGTAAGCAAGTTTTTTTTCCTCTCCTTCCTCCTCCCAATCTGATATTGTCTTGTTGCACGTCTGCATGTGTGTCAAGCCACAAAGAAAATAAAATATAAGGCCATCACTGAGCTATTTTCATTCTCACTCTGCCAGAGATCTAAATGTTTACTTTTTTCCCCCCTCCATGCTTTTTTTTGCATTGCTACTTTTACTTGTTAGGGATTGTTTGCACGTCGGCGCCAATTGCTGCTCACAGAAGGGCCCCACCTGTATTATGTGGATCCTGTCAACAAAGTTCTGAAAGGAGAAATTCCGTGGTCTTTAGAGTTGCGGCCAGAAGCCAAGAATTTTAAGACATTTTTTGTTCACACAGTAAGTGACTTTCTTTAATTTCTTTGTAAATTGTACTAAGGTCCTTGGACAATTATTCTAAGTTGTTAACAAATTTTTCTGGAGAGAATATAATTCTTTAAATACAAGTGTTGATAGCCTTAATTAAAATAAATAAAAAAAACCCCAAAATAAATAACAAAGCCCCCCCCCCAAACCAACCAACAAAAACCCCCCAAAACCCCTAAACCCGTGAAATATGCATTTCCCATAAAAATACAAGTGTATTTTTTTATTATTAATGTGTAATTAAACTATAAGCAGATTTTGGGATTTGAAGGAAGTTCTTAAGAAGTACACTTTAAATTTAGCCTTCTTTGTATGTAGTGGATCACAAGGGGTGTACCAACAATTTGTCTGTTGACTGCTTCACAATATTGAGGTGCCAGATGTATGGTTATTCACTAATAGATAATCTTATATAGCTGTAATTGAATTTAACTTTTGGAAAGTTTATGAACTGATTCTGAATAATAATTTTATTGGTAGGTGCAGAATAATTACTGTTTTTTTGTTAAACTGTGTTTGGAGTACTTATTAAAATGTTGTTTACTTATAGCCAAACAGGACATATTACCTGATGGACCCGAGTGGGAATGCTCATAAATGGTGCAAAAAGATACATGAAGTTTGGCGGCACAGATACCACCAGAATGCTGCTAAGTAGTAAAGCTCATCCAAAATTTCCCAGTTTCCCTACTTGCTGCTAGAACTCAGCGTGCAGCCGATCAGAGGAATCTTTTCAACCCACGTATTACCATCTCAAGGGGAAGCATATGTCTGAAATGTTCTGGTTTGGTTTGGGTTTTTTTTTGTTTTTTTTTTTTTAAAGAAAAAGAAAAGCAAAAACCTAATGGAATTCAGGGTCGCTTTGCTTGCTCTTTGTGCTTCTGTTGAGGCTTCCTCATGCATATCATTGCAGTGAAGATCTTGCTTTTGTGCACTTCAGCTCAGTTTCTGCTGCAGACTAGTGGACAGACCTTGCGTTACCAGCTTCACTTAAGATGAGTTAAAACAAATCCACACGCACACATGCCGGATCATGTACCAGCCTTGTATTTTATGGGGCTGGAGTTTTCTGTGACTTTCAGATTATCATTAAACTGTATTTCATCAGGGAGCTTTTATATGCCTCTCCTAAGCACCACCTCTTTGTTTTCTCTACCTTTCCTCACAGTCCCCCAGCTTATTGGTATATGGCGTTTGTAGCCAGGTCAGTTGCACCCTTGTGTAATTCCTACTATAGTTCTGGTTGCAGGATTTATGTGGTACTTTAGTAATTATGTGAATGAATCAGATGTATGTGTCTGGCAGACAGGCTCCAGTGATGCAGATAGTGAGAGAGTAACATGCTGAATGTGACACTGAAAGTTTTCTAAAATTGAAATGTTGGCTTCTGAAGCATATATGATTTTAAACATTCAATTTAAATTTTAATATGAATCATATGTGTGTTTAATCAAGGGACAATAAACTTACCAGCATGCTTTTAACTAATGCTAACTAAAAATGTAACTAGTTAGTCGGGGGGGGGGAAGGTTACTATTGAAGTAGTAAATAGTTTTTCATCTTTTCAGGAGATGAGGGCTAGAAGCTTTCTTTCCAGGATGTGCATGTATTGTGCATTTTTATGGGGCCAACCTATTTACCTGGGTAGAGAGGGAAGTGTGAAAGCTTTGTACAATTGATTACTTGACTTTTTTGTCTCATTGTATATATACAATGTATATATACACAACAAAAATAATCCTATTTTTGGTCCTTGGCCAAATATTTAGCAACTCTGAAAAAAAATTAGCAATTGAAATATTAGATCCACAAAGTAATCTGGTTAAAAATTCAAATGAAAATATTATACAATGGGGAAAATATATGGTACTTAAGGCATATCTATAAAATGAAAATATTTTTCATATCAATCTCCTTTATCCTCTTCAAATTAAGGCTTTTTTGTGGTCAAACATTTCTTGTAATGTTGCAAAGACATAACTTTCTATGTGCTAAAAACAACTTACCTAATGGTGTTTTCACCATTCCTGTGTTCCTGAACCTTGCAGAGAGGAATGACCTAGGTCTGGACAGAGGCATTCCTTTCCTTGTTTTAAAAGCCATATAAACATCACACCTATTTATTCACCTTCTACCTGTACCATGGCTGCATTTTGAGGTCTCATACTATGATGTGCTCTTCCTCCCACAAAAGACAGAAGTGTTCCACTGTGATGCTGAAAAAGCTCATGGGCTGCTGTTCTAGAAGGAGTATTTTAAAAGCAGTGGCTTGTCGGGATCCCTCAGAAACCACACGAGTGGTGGATATTTTGTTGTTGTACAGGGTGGAGGAGACTTATTGAGCTCTTAAAAACTGTGTTACGTCGTTGAACTTTAAGACAGTTCAGCTTTTCCAGCATCTTTCAGTCTCTAAAGGAGTGAGTGCAGTTGCCTTTCCTTTTGGAGGAGTTCCTTGGTTAACCCACCACGTACACAGACTTTTTTACAAAAGTGAATCACTGGCTTACAGTGCCTGGTGCTGAGGGAGCTGTGTCCTGTGAATGGCTGAGGTGAGAAAGAACACCATTCCCTTCACATCACAAAAAATTTCATCCCATACAAGGTACGCTCCTTGTCACTAAAATTTGAATAGTGTCTGTGCCTGTATTAACCCTGTATTTACCGTTCTGACCAAGATGACGTGTGTTGTAGGTTTGTTGCAGTGCTATCCTCTTGTTCGCTGGCTGTCAGATCCCAGCTGTTTGGTCCACTGGAGGCAACCCTGCTGCTTTTGGATTTAGTCTTTCGTATAGAGATGTAGATGTATTCCTGACTTTACCCAGGAGGGTGTGGCAGTGACAGAGATTCACAGTGCCACTGCTGTTTGCGGTGACAAAACTTGGCCTCACATAAGAAGTCTGGCAAGTTGTTCTGCTAATAGTGAACACCTTTAGCCTCATGGGGAGATGTGATCTCTGTTGGCTTGTTCACTAGGTGGAAATCTAGGAATGCTTAAACATGTTTTCTGTGATATTTAGGCTTGTAGTCATTTTGGCATAACAAAGTAATTACTCTGCATTCTCACACCTTGAAAATCCTCTCTCAGTAGACTTCTGTTCTGTCCACCAAAAGCTTTCAGCCAAAGAAATCTTGGTAGCAGTAACCTATCCAGAAGGTGTCTGGAAGGCTGATACCTGCATTCTAGTATTGCCCTTTTCTTTTGGCAATGCTGTCATTAGAAAACTGTGAGCATCTCTTACAGGAATCCCTCCCTTTAGAACTTCAGTGTTCCCGATCAAGTCTTCCTTAGCTGCTGCTTTTTTGGGAAGGGACTAGAACTTTTCTGGGAGAGGTATTTGTCTTGTCTTGGTCTGTAAGTGAAACCTGTGGTTTTGAAAGATGGCAGATGAATAAAGTGAGGCAAGACGAAGCAATAGTGTGGACTTAGGTATGTTTCACTAGTTTGTCCACTTCAATACGTATTGGCAGGTGCTGCCTACGAGGAAGGGCTGGTTCCTGTTTGAAATGCTTATAGCCGAAGTGAGGCAGCTTCAGATCTTTGTCCTGAAGATCACTCCTGTGGTTCATGGGAGTTCCTGGAATTAAATGTACAAGGGAGGTTCTTCAGAGCTGCAGATAAGCTGGTTAACTTCTCTGCTCTTTACCCAAGGTCTTTCAAAGCACACAAAGGGTTGTTAGGCACTCTTCTTCAGACTCCTCACTGCAAATCTACTGAAAACCCAGTCTGTTGACTGATTGATTCTATCTTTTGCATTTTGAACAGTTGCTAATAATTTATAAATAATCTGTTCAGTAATGTTAATTTTTTTTGATTGGTATTTGGACTTCACGAAGGTGTTTATTGCATCTGTCTTCTGTGGGGTGGAGCTTAAGAAAGGATGAAGTACTGTTGCTAGAAATGCGTTTGGAATCATGCTGTTCTATTCAGTGTCCAGCTCAGTCACAGGAAGTGTAAAACTACTTTGATAAACTGATAAATGAGTTTATTACCATTGGCCTTGAAGTGCAGTTTTGGGAAGGATGTATATTGAGGAAGACTTGCTCCAAATGTGATGTTGAGGCATTGCAAGCAGACTGATGTTAGCCATTAAGGTCTCATTTGCTAAGCACATAGATACTGAAGACGTCAAACTGTCAGATAATACTGTGCTCCAGTTACTGTCCTCCTGATGTTGGTTAGTTGTGAAGTATCTGCTATATATAAGCCTGGAAAAAACTGTAGGTTGAAACAACGATATGATAACTGTAATCTGTTTTTATAGTTCAAGATACTTAACGTGCTTGACATCATTACATTTGCACTGGGAACTTTGAAGAATCCTGAGGATTTCCCACATGCACATTTAACAGTTTCTTTTGAATGATTTAGTAAAGTCAACGCAATTACTTCATTTGGCTTGCAGACAAAACCTTTGATTTCAACACCTTGCTGAGGAGAGAACTTGTGTATTAATAGTTGCCTAAAGGTGTGGTCTGTGGAGTCTGATCATTCTTCTACTAGAGAATTACACAAATAGGTGTGGTATTTATATCTGAAATTTTGCTGAATGCCTGTAATATTTTATACTAATATTTTATTAATCAGATGGAAGTGCTCCTGCAAAGCTTCACGACACATTGTCCATCAGTTGATCAAGTGAGCTTACAGACAAGTAATTCTGACCCAAAATAGCATGCTTTTGGTTAAGATAAGACTGGTAATTCAAGAATGTTTCCTCTTTCTTAGAAGAAATAAGACTTTTATACAGCAAACAATTGGAGAGGTTCTTAAGTACCCCGTGCCCTGGTCTGTCTGTCAGCGTGGCCGTGGATGTGGGTGGTTGCCATTTGACAAAGCTTCCCGTGACCATGTACTAAGGGACTGGATGTGGGTATTCTTCTAAATTGTAGCAGAAATTACAATTACTGTATCTGACAGAAGAGAAAATGTAGGAACCAGGAACCATCCTCCGTTTTGACAGCTGTACGCGAGCTGTTTTCAGGTGGGTGGCAGTCAGCGAGGTGTGTGATGTTCTCTGCCTGGTTTGTGGCTGTGATGTACAGATATCAGCAACACAACCCACCCCCTTCAAATGGAAACCCCACCTCCCCTCCAGCCCCCACAAACAATCTCCCCCCCTCCCACAACTCCT